CCCCCCCCCCCATTCTCTGTCTTCCCCTGCGTGAATATTTACTGCTGTCGCCATGATTCTCTCGCTGTATGCCTGACCCTGCCTGCCTACCATCGGTGTCGTTCGATCGATTTTTTTTCAGACGGTGATGCTCGCCCAGCACCGCAAGCGGAGAAAGTCGAAGCTGACCGTCGGAGAGGCCTGGAAGGCGTTCAGGGACGACGGGGGGGGGGAGCGGACGGTGCTGTTTTGGTCGGGCGGAAAGGACTCCTTCCTTACGCTGCGGGCCCTGCAGAAGAGGAAGAGGGAGGAGCGGGGGAGCGAACGAATAACGCTGCTGACGACTTTCGATGGCAAGACAGGAAAGATTCCTTTTCAGGACACAAAGGTGCGAGGGGGGGTTGCTCTGTCGGCGAATGGCGTTGTTGCCGTTGTTGTTGCTGCTGCTGCTGCTGCTGCTGCTGCTGCTGTGGCCGTTGTTCGTATTCATGTTATTTTTATTTTTATTTTTGTCCGCCACAACCTCATTTCCCGAATCATTCCAATCTTGTTTGACCGGCAATATGCCGTTTCAAGACACCACGGTGCAGGGGACGGGTGGGGGAGGGTGGGGCACGCTGTTCGCAAATGTTGTTGTTGGTGTTGTTGGTGTTGTTGTTGTCCACGCCAGCTTCATTGTCGGAATCATTCCCATCTTGTTCGACCGCCAGCATTCCTTTTCAGGAGGACAAAAATTTGGGGCGGGCGCTCGGAAACCATCTCGTTGGTGTCGCAGCACTTGGGGGGGTGATATCTTGCATCATATTTCCTACGGTGGTGGTCGATCTGGGAGGAAAGACCCAGTGCCTTTTTTGACGAAGCGCGTGCCACGCTCAATGCATGAGCTCTGTTCCCGGCCTTGCCTATGGGGTGCATTTTCCGAAGCTTGTGCCATGGTCAATGAATCAACTGTGGGGCTGGCTATGTCTATGGTGTGAGGGAAGGCAATAGCCGGATTCACGGGGGGGGGGGCGATCGCCATACCGTCTTTGCCTGCCCCCTTGGTCGTTTCGGCACACACGATCAGCCAATACAAGGACTACCGTCGGCGGTCTTCAAATACTGTCGGCGGTCTTCAATAGCGGTAGGTAGTGACAAGAAGTTTTGGTGCCGCTACAATATAGAGGGCGCCGCTATTCCCAGTAGGGAATGTACTGAGAAATGCATTTGTGCCAAGCGATTTCGGTGCCGCCACCGAGGGCATTCCACTATTGAGTGGTAACGTTATTGAGGACCGCCGACTGTATCGTAAAACGTAACAGCCCTTCTGAGGAAACGTGGCTAAGTACATCTACAGTCACCTACTGTTTCCTGCTGTAGGCCACCGAAAGCATGTAACTTGCGTGTGCCGAAACGGTCTTTAAAGCCTTAACAAACGTTGCATTTTTTTTTTCTTTTTTGTCCACGTCGCGCGCGCAACAACATCAACAACGCCATCCAGCACCATCACTCAACGACGCAAACAATCCACAGCAGCTACACAGAATAGCATCAACTTCGACAGCACCCGATCAATACCGCTCAACAAACAATGAACGGACGACAGATCACCGATGTGCTGGAGCAAGCTCAGCAGGAGGGCGTGGACCTCCTGGCGGTCCCCCTCGGAGGAGGGACAGGACCCTTCCCGGATGCCTATTCCGTGACGCTCAAGGTGAACCAAGGGAATACAATAAAAGTATCCCAGGCAGGAACCGCAGGAGGGGGTCCAACCCCCCCCTCCTATGTGACCCCGGTGGGGTCGTCTAGCGGGTAGAAGTGGAGGATGGGGGCCAGGGGGGCAGACGACAGAGTCCAATGATGAGAGGAAAAAAAAAATACAGTCGTGGTCCCGGCGGTAGCGGTTAGTTCCTTCCCTGTTTAACGGGATGCCCTGAATAGCGGTCCCAACATCTCGTGGCACGGATGCACCTCGGTACTCAAGCTACAATGTTACTGCTAATCCGGTTTAGCGGCGATGCCCTCAAAATAGCGGTTACAGCATGTTTATGGACCGCTAAAACGGTACAAGGTCTCTGGACGCGGGGGGCTAACCCCCCCCCCCCGTCCTTCGTTTGCTCCGCCGCTCTCCGTGTAAGGTGGACACGACAGTCAATGGCAGACGTAAAATGCAATACCAAGTAGGAAGCTCCTTCCTTCATGGCCGTGGAAAGGATGTGATTATTTGGCGCAGACGTGGATGGAAAGGGGCTCGCTTTCCGCAGACCTCCACCTTGCGCTGAATGTTTTTGCTCCCATACTTTTGCGTCTGCTGCACAGCGGCGTCTCTGATTTTCTCCCCAACACTAAAGAGCACCATCCCAATTATTCTTTCTCGCCGTTTTTCTTCCTTTCTTCTACCAGAAAGGCCGCCTTAAAGCCTCTCTGCCGCAAGAGGGACTTGTTGCCTTCCGAGACATCCACTCCTTGCTTTCGCGCTTTTTTTTTTCTTAATATTGTATGATTTCGACCCCAAACTTTAGCCACTTTCATCAGACCGAGCATCCTTCAAATTCGCTCTCTTCGTTTTTATTCTTCTTTCTCCCGCGAAAAGGCAGCGCTAAAGCCTCTCCGCGTCAAGGCACTCGCGTTCGGAGACCTCCACCTTCAGGAGCTGAAGTCTTGGCGAGAAGATGTCTTCTCCGGTGCCTATCCTTGCGAGTTCCCGCTGTTCGAGGTACCGTACGAGGAACTCCTCTCCAGGCTGTGGGCGGAGGTTGCGGCTGGGGTTACCCTTAAGGTGAGCGGAGAGGGGGCGTGCTGTCGGGTAGTGTTGTGTTCGGTGGGTCCTCGTCAAGTCTGACCAACGTCGGCGCATCAGCCCTGCGAGGGGCACCGGGACAACTAGACGTACGAGGGGACGGGACTACCAGTTGCTAACCTGTTTGACCATTCGGTTCCCGGAGCTACAGTGTTGTCGTCTTTCATTGCCAAGCTAGTAGGGAGAATTCTCATCGAGGGGCGTTTTTCATGAATTGAAGGGGCTTAACGCTCATGGCGGGAGGGGGGGGTGCTATCCATCGTCGCCAGCTAGAGAGGAAAAAAAAAACGTTGAAAAATTCTCCGGCTGGTGGTGCTGCTGAATGTTTGAACAGGATGCTTCCGCCACCGCTTCAGATAACAGCAACAGCAGCAGCAGCAGAGGCGACACACCCTCTCGCCCACAATGAGTGTAGAGAGGTGCACAGCACAGCAGCTGTCTCTTATACACATCTAGATGTGTATAAGAGACAGG